AACGATGACTTGGGGAGGCCTTTATCCAGTAGTGGATGATCACGGTTGGCAAACGTGGTTAAGAATGGTCTTGTACAAAGGTTATGGGTTTTATTGCCATAATTCACCATTCACCAGACATGGGAGCGGTGATTGTTATTGTATAATTATTTATAACTGCCAATCGTGTACAAATATAGGCGTTTCTGTTTGTCTATTTATTCTTACCCAGCGTGATATATTTTCAATTAAATTAAATAAAAACGAATGCGCTCTTTGAACTAACACAATGGTTAATGAAAGAGAGAGCGAAAAGTGCATATAAAATAAAACCCATTACAAAATGTGAACGCTGCTAGAGAATTCTGCAATGCCGTGTGCATGTTAAAACCCACAAACTCGTACTTGAAGGTCACTCAAGTCAAGACTCATAGCTTCACACTCTCAAACACATGTCAAAATAAACCAACATCTGCTGTCCAACTGAAGAGAGCAAAGGCAAAGATAACATGAAATAAGACGCAATATCAGAGGAAGGTTTCTGTGAAGGTGAGCTCCAAATCTGAAGGCGGATTTACTTCACTATCAGCCCTGGTGAGAATTCAGAAGTCTCTCGGCCAATACAGCACTAATGTAATATGAGAATATATCCGGCTCACTGACGTATCACAACTCGACATGGTGATTGGCTCTGCTGGTCCTGGTTTACAGCCAATGGGGGGAAGCCTGGGGGCATGGCCCTGACGTGATGGAAGGGTGACAGCTATGGAGATTGGCTGAGGCCAAAGCCAGCAGAACCAATGGGGAGATGAGTCAGGGGCGTGGTCCCGGGAGCTGACGAGGGAGCCTGGAAGATTCGACGCAGGCTAACGATGATTGGCTGAAGCGTACCACGTGACCCGGGGATTAAATAGGGGTAGAGAGGAACGACACGTGGTCAGAACGGGAACGAACGGAGGAAGGGGCTCCGAGTTGCCACGTGGCAGTGCGTCTCTCTCGGTCTATCTGTCCCTTGACGTTGTCTATCAGCAGCGTGAAGTAGATGTAACTCAAAGTGAATAAAAGACGGATTCCAGAAGTCGTCTCAAAGAGCTTTATTACACTAAGATAAGTAGTCTGTGAGCCCAGACCAGATATTTCACTTTTCGGCACCACCTGAAGGTGGCATTAATGTAGTGGTTCAAATTTCTTTGTGTGGCCAATCATAGTGAATTATGCGATAACCATTTGAACTGAGTGGGTTATCAAGTAATTCACTCTCATTAACTGTATAGATGAATTGGTATTACTAGCGATGGTGGTACCAATTTCTGCTCTGGCCCATGGACTCTAAAGGCCAATCCACGTGAAGCATGGATCCCGGTGGCGAGATAGCGACCTATTTAATTAAAATAAGACTGTAAAAAAACATCAAAGGAAGCACCTAAGCAAACGTTTAGAACATAAAAAAGAGTTAGTTTCCCCCAATAAAATGTAAGCATATTTTTTGTCAAAGCTGTGCCTAATGCTTGCTATCACGTGTGATTTGGAAACAGTCATTATTTTTTTTTACAAATACTCAAAAGAACACAAACAACCACAGACAGATGCTTGCTTAGAATTACACAGAGGGGCAGAAAGGGGTTCAGAGAACCTCCGCATGTTAAAGATTTAAGTTAAACTGTTAAGAAACAGTAGGTGGGCCTGGACAAGACATGTCACTGCAAGGGATGATGGTCGATGGCTAAAAATAATGACGGTGTGGCAGCCACGTGTCGTGACGGGTACAGCAAGATCCAACCGCGTCCGTCTGGTGATCGCTGAGCTGCATTGGCTTCCGGTTGCTGAATGAATGCATTGGAAGGTCGCACTCGTTACACACAAAGTGCTTGCCACAAATTAACCACAATACCTTGCCGATCTCGTCAAGGAGCACAAACCATCCCACGAACTCTGGTCATCCTTGCAGCAGATTTTGGCTAACCATCGAACAAAGACGGTCAGTGCATCAGCGTGTTTTTAGATGCACCTCTGCGACCGTCTGGAACGCTCTTCCTTCTGATATTAGGAAGCCACTGGAGCTATGCACTTTTAAATCTCAATGAAAACTAATTTCTTTAGAACTGTTTTATGTGTTTAGTTTGTTGTCCTTATCTCACACTTCCGATTAGCACAATTGGCTATGAAGGGTGCGAAAGAAGTTCAACATAAACACATACATCCAAGGGATGGAACGTGTCCGAGTGGACATCCGATGAGGAGATGCAGCGATGACTGAAATCAGCTCTATGGATTGCGAAAGCTTGGCGAGGCCTTCATCCGGCAGTGAATTAATCATCGCCGACGACGATGATAAACATTCGAGCTTAAAATAAAAGCAAGCCTCGGCCACTAAATTAATTCCGTTTTAAAATTCTCAGGTCTTTATTTATTCATCCCCCACCGGCAGGCGTTGGCCACCCTCTGGGAGCAGTTGATGCGTGGGACAGCCGCGGCTGCCACGTCCAGAATAGCGCCGCCTCTCCCCTGCTGCTTTGCGTTGCCTACTGTCGCGCCTGATGCGAACGCCAACGTCTGAAATGCCCAAGCGCCGTCGCCGCACCACGCACGTGTTGGACTTTCCCGCACCATCTTGTGCCAACGATGATGCGGTCGTTCAATTTCGCACGCGCGGCGAGATTTTTCGCTGCCACCTGACTATCGCCGACTCTTGTTTCACTGACCCCTGCCCCCCCCTCACCGCATGTTAATTCATCAACATTGGTGGCTTCGGGATAAGCTTGCAACACCGATCTTACCGTGATGGTTAAATCAAAGAAACGAGCAAATAAATCACACTCATTTAGTCGATATATAAAACACACGTTTTTTTTCTACTGTACGCATTATACAAATCAAAATAACCATGCGGCATTGCAGAATATTCATGAAACATACAATATAATTACAATGGATGGTTTTAAAAAGCAGTGCATGAATGCATTGCAACTGCAGAGTGTTTTTCTCCCACCCAGAATTGCTGCGAGTCCCCACAAAAAAAGCGACAGATCGTGTGTTTTTATAATTTCACGGCACACTCTCACGGATATATCACGGTCCTAAAATAAGACATCAAAACTCCTTTCCCGCGTATGAACTGTACAGGGAGCTTCCTTTGTTGGTGGACAATGAGCAGATGCAGAGAAGAGAGTAAAAAAAATGGGAGCCAATTAATGTCGCCGAGGCAATGCCATGGCCAGGGACAATTAAGTGGAATGTATTTCTCTCGTCTTCCATTACGGAGTCATTTTTACAGACTGTCGCGCTTCACGCAAGCTGATTCAGCTAATTCCTCATAAACGAGGCCTGCAGCTTTTTAATTTCATCTCCAAACCTGCTTTATCCCTCAAGAGTAATTGGAACTCGTAAGCAAACCCACAATTCATTTTGGGGGAAAAAATATATCCAAAATTGCCACATGGCAGGTTTTTTTTGTTGTAAATTATACCTGTAAAGCGTGACACTTGCTATTTGATATTTAATCTCTAATAGATTGCTTTTGTTGAAAAATATAAATCACGTGATAATTACACATTGTATGATAGCGTAGCTTGTTGGTAATTCGCTGAGTGCTCTAACCATTTCAGAGGGGATTTCCAATTCAATTACTTCTAATGGATTTTTCTAAATCCACGCCATAAAGTGCACAAAGCCAGTATAGGCATATTTACGGTGGTGAAGGGAGGGCTGTGTTCACTAAATCAGCCGACAGACACAAATAACTGAATTGGAGGTGGGAGGGCCAGTGCCTACAATTAGAACAAAAACAACACCGCCAATACAAATGGGTTCCCAGGCAGAATGGCATAGATAGATTGCAAGGTTCAACGTTACTCGCCACCCCGACCGTGCCAAGCAACAACCAACCCCCTTCCTCCCCACCGCCCCACCCCAACAGCTATGACCCTGCAGCAACCGCAGGCAATTCCCATCGGCATGAATATTCAACGGAGGTCTGCGTGAGCAGCAAGCCGCCGATATCGCGCCTTATCGCACGGCTGCAGACTTCCGGAAGTCATTTCGAAGGCCACCTTCTTTTAATAAAAAAACACGGCCACACTGCTCTGTTATCCTGCACCCTTTCCTGCCCAGCTTCACACACCGCTGGAAAACCAACTATATATTTGCTGAAAATCCATTCTTCCTCGTTTAAAAATATGGATCATCTATACACAGAGATTAGCATATGTATATTCTTAGGTTTTTTCGGTAAAGTAACGTAGGTAAAAAAATTAAATTAATTTATATTCTTTTATTTTTTATTTTTATTTTACTTTTATTAATTATAATTTTTTACCTACGTGACTTTACCGAAAAAACCTAAGAATATGAATCCTTGCAGTCACGAAAGCTTCAAATCTAGAAATAGCATATGTATATTTATACATGGCCAAAAAAATGCCTAAACATAAATGAAAATGCATACAAACGAAATGTCTATATGATATTGAATCAATGGTGAATTATTCATTAATATATTCATTCAGAATTCGAAACTATCATGGAGCACCGCACACACATTTTTTTGTATATATATAAACGTAGAATAAGTCAAAATCCCAAAAGGAAATCTACCAATAATGTTTGCACAATGTTGTTCATTAAAAATGATTTTGCATCAACATTTCACCAACGTGCACTGGCCAGCATGGTGAAGCACGGTCAAAACAACCCCCACGACTGACAAAACATGGGGAAGTGTTCATCCTTCAGTGAATATAACAAAGGTAACAAAGGCCTGTATACGATTGTCGTGATCAATAAATACATTTACAATCGAAATGTAATATATGCGTGCTTGTGAATAACCAAGCATTCTCAGTTTCTGAGAAAAAAATATACATAACCTTACAGTGTGCTGTGCATTCTGGCTCACAATGAGAAGGAAAAAAAAACAAACGCAGCGTTAAAGTAATGGGTTAAAATGCGGCACATAATTAAATATTTTTTGAACATAAATTGAAATCTGTTGTGGCCTCCAGAGAGAGCACGATTTGGCTCACCATATGGAGTGACTGTGGCAAAAGTCCAGCGCAGAGATGATCTGGCGGAGGAACTTGCGCGCTTCCTTGGGGGTGAGTCGTCCTTTCTTCACCAAGTAGTCAAACAGTTCTCCTCCTGACACGTGCTCCAGCACCAGGTACCTGGGACAGATCGCGCCGACACGGGCAGCAGCAGCAGTAAGCAGGGGCAGCTCGCCAGCAGCTCAGCCAGGTGACCGCACACTGCTGAGAAGGCCTACGACGACACACTACGACGACACTCTAGCCCTACCAAGGGGGTCGAGCAGTAGCACGTTTTTGTTAGCATCCGGTGATATGAGCGTGAGATGGCCACAGTTTCTACGAGGCTCAACGGCTAACATTAGTCACGATTATTTGAACCAATCATGCATTCTTGCCCCCCCCCCTCCACCCTCCTTCTTTGTTAACTTGCAATAACCAGGGCGGTGAAGTATGGTCAAAAAACCCTATGACCATTATGGAATGGGGAGACCTTCGTCCATTTAGTGGACTGCATTTTGCTAGAAATGTAAATGTTTAAACATACTAAGCTCCAATATGTTGACTGGGATAAGTAGGCAAAATGAACGCAATTCAAGTGGGCCTTTCACATTCATTATGCGAGCACAAAATATGCTCACGCACTGCTGTGGGTGAAGAAAACGATTCAGTTGCTTGCACCGTAGGACATGCAGGCTACTCATGCGTGCAGAGATCAAAGCACTCATCAAAGCCATTTATGTAGGTGGGGGGAGGGGGGAAGGTGATGGAAGAAACTTAACGAGATTAATGCTTCCTTAATGCACGTGCAGATCATTAACAACGAATATTTAACAGAAGCGTATACCCGGTCATCTAATTCAAATGAGGTTTAAATGATTTTCTAATTGGGAGAGACCAAAGGCAGATGGCAAGATGGAGTTTTAGGGGAAACTAATTCCCCGCCATCAGCCAAGCAAACCTTGAAAGGTATAGATGGAACGAAAGGGTGCGGACGACTTGTCAGACTGATTTGGGTAGTAAAATCTAATCCAATCATCGTAAGAGAATGGATAAATAATGTAATGTATCATCCCTCCTATTATTCGTGGACAAAATGTGCACAGTCAATGATTCGTGAATGTGTCGTGCCAAATGTCACGTGTATTTATTATGACCCCATCTGCTGCACCTTCCGTTCAGCAAACATGAAATTCAGGACACGATGCAGCATTGTGGCATTGACGCCGCATGCTGATTTATTCAGCTGCGATATGTCTTGAATTAAAACCAATGCAAACATGGGCATAAATAAGCAAACAATTTGTTTACACTGCGATACGCACGTTTAATCCCATCAGGTTAAAACGAGTATATAATGTCATTTAAGAGCTTCACTGAATTTCAAGGCACAAGACCATTTCTCAGGAGTGTCCTGCAACTGGGATGTTGGATAAAATTATTTTAAAATAGGTTCTGCAAGTGGAAGGAAACCAGATCACCCATAGGAACCGCTTGCATATGAAGGAATAAACATGTACACGTCTGCATAGAGGGTTTCACGAGCCCACTCTGCGGTACTGCCGTCTCCTGCCCACCAGCTGAGGAAGTTTCCTAAATCTGCATGATCCATCAACCCTTGTCTCCTCCAAAGGACTGGATTGGAAGAGTGTGCCACCATGCCGGGCCAAATAAGGCCCACTGAACTATGTAGCTCTTTTTCAGAAGCGATCTGATCACACATTTTAGCTCAACGAAGTAGCTTATCACGTGGAAATGTATTGCAGCCACATACTCTTAAACGTGTGACGTTGATTCGAAATGTGCAGGGTAATACCAGAGAACCCGGAGAAAAATCCAAGCGACCACGGGGAGAACATGCAAACTCCAAATATACAGGCGTCAGAGTTGGGATCGAACCCACGACCTCCTGCACACCAGGTGAGGTAGTTGACATCTCACCACCGTGGCCACCTAAACTAAGATGTTTTTTTAGTTACTTATATAATAACAGTAGAGTCAACTTACAGTGTGAGTGGACTAGTGGCCACGGGAGGTAATGACAGGGAGTCAGCCTGCAGTGCGAGTGGACTGGTGGCCACGGGAGGTAATGACAGGGAGTCAGCCTGCAGTGTGAGTGGACTGGTGGCCACGGGAGGTAATGACAGGGGAGTCAGCCTTCAGTGTGAGTGGACTAGTGGCCACGGGAGGTAATGACAGGGGAGTCAGTCTGCAGTGCGAATGGACTAGTGGCCATGGGAGGTAATGACAGGGGAGTCAGTCTGCAGTGCGAGTGGACTAGTGGCTACGGGAGGTAATGACAGGGGAGTCAGTCTGCAGTGCGAATGGACTAGTGACCACGGGAGGTAATGACAGGGGAGTCAGCCTGCAGTGCGAATGGACTAGTGGCTACGGGAGGTAATGACAGGGGAGTCAGTCTGCAGTGCGAATGGACTAGTGGCCACGGGAGGTAATGACAGGGAGTCAGCCTGCAGTGCGAGTGGACTGGTGGCCACGGGAGGTAATGACAGGGAGTCAGTCTGCAGTGTGAGTGGACTGGTGGCCACGGGAGGTAATGACAGAGGAGTCAGCCTGCAGTGTGAGTGGACTAGTGGCCACGGGAGGTAATGACAGGGGAGTCAGTCTGCAGTACGAATGGACTAGTGGCCACAGGGAGGTAATGACAGGGGAGTCAGTCTGCAGTGCGAGTGGACTAGTGGCTACGGGAGGTAATGACAGGGGAGTCAGTCTGCAGTGCGAATGGACTGGTGGCCACGGGAGGTAATGACAGGGGAGTCAGCCTGCAGTGTGAGTGGACTAGTGGCCACGGGAGGTAATGACAGGGGAGTCAGTCTGCAGTGCGAATGGACTAGTGGCCACGGGAGGTAATGACAGGGGAGTCAGTCTGCAGTGCGAGTGGACTAGTGGCTACGGGAGGTAATGACAGGGGAGTCAGTCTGCAGTGCGAATGGACTAGTGACCACGGGAGGTAATGACAGGGGAGTCAGCCTGCAGTGCGAATGGACTAGTGGCTACGGGAGGTAATGACAGGGGAGTCAGTCTGCAGTGCGAATGGACTAGTGGCCACGGGAGGTAATGACAGGGAGTCAGCCTGCAGTGCGAGTGGACTGGTGGCCACGGGAGGTAATGACAGGGAGTCAGTCTGCAGTGTGAGTGGACTGGTGGCCACGGGAGGTAATGACAGAGGAGTCAGCCTGCAGTGTGAGTGGACTAGTGGCCACGGGAGGTAATGACAGGGGAGTCAGTCTGCAGTACGAATGGACTAGTGGCCACAGGAGGTAATGACAGGGGAGTCAGTCTGCAGTGCGAGTGGACTAGTGGCTACGGGAGGTAATGACAGGGGAGTCAGTCTGCAGTGCGAATGGACTGGTGGCCACGGGAGGTAATGACAGGGGAGTCAGCCTGCAGTGTGAGTGGACTAGTGGCCACGGGAGGTAATGACAGGGGAGTCAGTTTGCAGTGCGAATGGACTAGTGGCCACGGGAGGTAATGACAGGGGAGTCAGTCTGCAGTGCGAGTGGACTAGTGGCTACGGGAGGTAATGACAGGGGAGTCAGTCTGCAGTGCGAATGGACTAGTGACCACGGGAGGTAATGACAGGGGAGTCAGCCTGCAGTGCGAATGGACTAGTGGCTACGGGAGGTAATGACAGGGGAGTCAGTCTGCAGTGCGAATGGACTAGTGGCCACGGGAGGTAATGACAGGGAGTCAGCCTGCAGTGCGAGTGGACTGGTGGCCACGGGAGGTAATGACAGGGAGTCAGTCTGCAGTGTGAGTGGACTGGTGGCCACGGGAGGTAATGACAGAGGAGTCAGCCTGCAGTGTGAGTGGACTAGTGGCCACGGGAGGTAATGACAGGGGAGTCAGTCTGCAGTACGAATGGACTAGTGGCCACGGGAGGTAATGACAGGGGAGTCAGTCTGCAGTGCGAGTGGACTAGTGGCTACGGGAGGTAATGACAGGGGAGTCAGTCTGCAGTGCGAATGGACTGGTGGCCACGGGAGGTAATGACAGGGGAGTCAGCCTGCAGTGTGAGTGGACTAGTGGCCACGGGAGGTAATGACAGGGGAGTCAGTCTGCAGTGCGAATGGACTAGTGGCCACGGGAGGTAATGACAGGGGAGTCAGTCTGCAGTGCGAGTGGACTAGTGGCTACGGGAGGTAATAACAGGGGAGTCAGTCTGCAGTGCGAATGGACTAGTGACCACGGGAGGTAATGACAGGGGAGTCAGCCTGCAGTGCGAATGGACTAGTGGCTACGGGAGGTAATGACAGGGGAGTCAGTCTGCAGTGCGAATGGACTAGTGGCCACGGGAGGTAATGACAGGGAGTCAGCCTGCAGTGCGAGTGGACTGGTGGCCACGGGAGGTAATGACAGGGAGTCAGCCTGCAGTGTGAGTGGACTGGTGGCCACGGGAGGTAATGACAGGGGAGTCAGCCTGCAGTGTGAGTGGACTAGTGGCCACGGGCGGTAATGACAGGGGAGTCAGTCTGCAGTGCGAATGGACTAGTGGCCACGGGAGGTAATGACAGGGGAGTCAGTCTGCAGTGTGAGTGGACTAGTGGCTACGGGAGGTAATGACAGGGGAGTCAGTCTGCAGTGCGAATGGACTAGTGGCCACGGGAGGTAATGACAGGGGAGTCAGCCTGCAGTGCGAATGGACTAGTGGCTACGGGAGGTAATGACAGGGGAGTCAGTCTGCAGTGTGAGTGGACTGGTGGCCACGGGAGGTAATGACAGAGGAGTCAGCCTGCAGTGTGAGTGGACTAGTGGCCACGGGAGGTAATGACAGGGGAGTCAGTCTGCAGTACGAATGGACTAGTGGCCACGGGAGGTAATGACAGGGGAGTCAGTCTGCAGTGCGAGTGGACTAGTGGCTACGGGAGGTAATGACAGGGGAGTCAGTCTGCAGTGCGAATGGACTGGTGGCCACGGGAGGTAATGACAGGGGAGTCAGCCTGCAGTGTGAGTGGACTAGTGGCCACGGGAGGTAATGACAGGGGAGTCAGTCTGCAGTGCGAATGGACTAGTGGCCACGGGAGGTAATGACAGGGGAGTCAGTCTGCAGTGCGAGTGGACTAGTGGCTACGGGAGGTAATAACAGGGGAGTCAGTCTGCAGTGCGAATGGACTAGTGACCAC